TCCTTTCCCCAGGACAAAAATTCTTGTCAGTTTCTATAAATTGTTCCTCACGTTGGGCAAATAGCTTTTTTCTAAACAGCTTTCCACTGTGAGGGGAAGTAGATTATCCCATTAAAGTCAGCCAACACCTTCCTCTGTGACCAGGGTTTTAGACAGAATTTTAAAGTGAGGTAGGTAGGTGCGGCCTTTTGCCTCAAACTTCTTTATTTTATTTTAGTTTTTAAAGGGAAAAAGAGTAAGAAATTCAGATGATGAAAATTCCAGAGACACTGAAAGTATCCCAAGTTGGCAGAAATACTGGGTAAACTACAGAAAATGCTTCTCAGGGCCCACACTTTCTTTTGAAACAAATATTATACAGTTTCATTATAAACTCTTTCCTGCATGATTTTGAGAAATCTTTCCACCAGTGCTTTCAAAAAGCACAATCTGTCTTAATAAAAAACTACTACCCGGTGGCGGGCGCGGTGGCTCAGGCCTGTAATCCCAGCACTTTGGGAGGCCGAAGCCGGCAGATCACGGGGTCAGGAGATCGAGACCATCCTGGCTAACATGGTGAAAGCCCGTCTCTACTAAAAATACAAAAAACTAGCCGGGTGTGGTAGCGGGCGCCTGTAGTCCCAGCTACTCGGAAGGCTGAGGCAGGAGAATGGCGTAAACCCGGGAGGCGGAGCTTGCAGTGAGCTGAGATCCGGCCACTGCACTCCAGCCTGGGCGACAGAGCGAGACTCCGTCCGCCCACCACGCCCCCAAAAAAAACAAAAAACAAACAAAAAAACTATTACCCGGTAATATTATTTTACATTTTAAAATTGTGAAACAGTATTAAGCCTACAGAAAAGTTGCAAGTATAGTCCAAAGAACTTCCTTCTTGAACTATTTGAGAGTCAGTTTTCCACGTGACCTTGCATTTCTCCAACATCCCCTCCTACTACCACCTAATCCTCAGACCCCATTCAAGTTTCACCAGTTGTGCCAATATTGTCCTTTACAGCCAAAGGATCCAGTTTGGGATCTCCTGTTCATCTATGACCACTTTGGTCTCTGCCAGTCTGGGACCGTTCCTCAAAGCTGTCTTTGATTTTCATGAATCATTTGAAGATGGCAGACCAGCTGATCTGCAGAACGCCTCTCAATTTGGGTTGGCCGGGACCGCCTCCGGGCGAAGGCCTCCAGTTACTCACCTTCGACGGGAACAGCATGGAAGTGATGCTGCGCTGGCTCCCCTCTGTCCTCTGGTGGCACACAATTCCAGTGTTCCTGGCACTGATGACTGCATGGCTACTGTGAAGGTACTCCTTTCTCTTTTTGTACTGAATATTTACATTAATTATATTTTTTATAGTTATGATGCAATATTACATATGAGACCGCGGGGTTCATCTGATTAGGTCCGCCCAATTTAGCCTGCCCTGCTTGCTTTTGGTCACTTGCTTTTGTTGTTTTTTTTTCCGTGAAGCTGAAGGCCGCGCCGCTGAGCTCTGTGACTTAACCTTGCCGGCTTTCTTACAGATAACATGTATGTCACTACTGTCAGGATCGCTCAAATTGTTTTTCAGGAACTTGGGGCAGCTCCTGCCTAGTTCAAAACAAGTTGAGACCAGTGAGCTTTCAAGTAGGTTTGTGCAAAAAAAAGAAGTGGCCTTTTGAACCCAAACGACCCAAGGGGCCCCAAACGACACCCTCAGATCATGGTAAGGCTGTCATTTTTTGAACATGTGTCCTGTGAAGTGCCATGAACCCTGACTGTGCTTGCACAGGTCACCGAATGTCTCATTTTCCCCCACTGCCAATCACCTTTGCCCATACCTTCCACCACCCTGCTTCTCTCACCGGTAAATATCCCTGAGCCTTATCTTTGGGGAGGCAGATTTGAGAGCTGTTCTCCTGCCTCCTCACTGGACTGCCTTGCGAATAAATCTTTTCTCTTTTGCAAAACCTGTCGCAGTGATTGATTTATTGCATGCCAGCAGAATGAACCCGGTCAGTACCACATGTATGTAATATTAGTAATTAATAGTATGTATTTTGTGGGAAAGTACTTTGAAACTGTGTAAATATCCTATTCCTCTTCAAACTTTTAATTTATTCAATATCTACTTTTATTGGTATGAAGTGTGGCTTCCCATTTTATTAAATGAGTCGAAATGTTACTATCATCATTTCTTTTAATGCTCAAGTTTTTCCAAATTTGGCCAGTGGGACCATGGTCTTGGAGCTGGCTTCTGTATGGTTTTGAGACATCCTCATCATTCTTGAAGCATTTCCTCACTTGCTGGCAGAACAAGATGTCCTAGGCTCATCTTGTACTTTCTCTGCCTTAACCCCAGAAACAGCCATTTCTCCAAGCAACATTGGTTCCTTTTATTAGAGAATGGGAATTAGAAACCAAGATCTGGGTGTGAGATGTGCTATTGGGGTGTCACTGTTCCCAGGCCCCCTCCAGACCAAGTCGGGGGATGTATGGATGTATACACACATTTACCATTTACCTCCACATGTACTTCTTTTTTTTTTGTTTTGTTTTGTTTTTTTGTTTTTTTTTTTTTTGAGATGGAGTCTCACTCTGTTGCCAGGCTGGAGTGCAATAATGCGATCTTGGCTCACTGCAACCTCCGCCTCATGGGTTCAAGTGATTCTCCTGCCTCAGCCTCCCAGTAGCTGGGACTACAGGCACCTGCCACCACACCCGGCTAATTTTTTTGTATTTTCAGTAAAGGCGGGGTTTCACCGTGTTAACCAGGATGGTCTCGATCTCCTGACCTTGTGATCCACCTGCCTCATACTTCTTTATCTATCTGTGTATACATACTGAAAATCATGGATTCACACTGCTAAGTCCAGTTCCACTTCAACACTAGTGGGCTCATTCTCCCCTTCCTTATTTGTAACTCCTATCTCTGACAGTTTCAACTCTGGCTTCAATTATCCTTAAGACATTCAGTTACCCCCTGTATGTAACTAATCTGTCATCTCCACCAGCATTCCGCCCTCCCTGGACACCACACACTGGGCCACTGCAATACAAGGATGTGCCACATCCTCAAACTGCTTGGGCTCTGACACGTGGGCCAGGCTGCACCAGCACCCATTTGTGTCTGAGGCTGTACCAGGCAGCCCCACTGTGCTGCCACCCTCCTTAACCTGCTCCGGTCCAGCACCCTGCTTGGGCCACTGTGGAACATACTACACAGACGCCCACCTTGCTTGACACACCCGATGGCCTTAGCACGGACTTGTCCAGGAAGCGAGCGAGGGATGTCTGGAGCAGGTGCGCGGACTTGTTCCATGAAAGATGGAAGGAAGAGCCCCATAGAAGTGTAATGGATCCTTACATTATATAGTCCAGCCTCCACCCCAAGGTTCACCCTTGTCCATTCTGCACTGGGGCAACAATACCGGTTACTTTGCTCCACTGACCTACCAAGATTCAGATAGAATCATTGGATTGACTATTAATATTTTTCCGCTGATAGTTGCTGCAAGCAGCTACAGCTTGCTCCTTAGCCTTCTACCGACTTGCTATATTTAGCATATTTTATCAAATTTTGCAGCATCCTCTCCTCATTGCCCTCACTTGAGTTTTTGAGGTTCCTGTTTGTGGACAAGACTTACCAGATGTATGAAGCTGGTTATATAACCGATTGGTCAACAAATGTAATGAGGATGGACCCTGCGCAGCACCCTGTACCTGTGTAAATACCATATTGCGCACAGTCCACCAGTGTTCCAGGGAGAACATGCTGCAATGTGCCTGCACTGCCTTCATTCCAGCAGCAATCTAAGGGCAGTCTGGGCTGACGATGGACATGTGGGTAGCCTGTATGTATATGTCTGTGCTCATGCTTCTAACACACATCCACCCTGTTATGGACACGTTTATACATCTTCATGCCATGGTATTTTGTACCTTTCCGCAGAACCTACCAGTGCTTCAGTGAGGTCTTGGCAGCTTTGGGTTTTTGGAGCCTCTCTATTTGTCCATTGCTGCGTGGACGGCTTTCAGAAAGAATGATCGCTTTGAGGGCAATTGTACCCTGCTTTCCTGTGCAAATTCCAGTGGCTGGAGTTTGAGGCCCCTAGCAGATAACCCTTCTGCCCCTGCCCTCATGAGTCTACATACAAGAAATACATCTCTAAAGAGGTAATAAGCCTTTCCCGTGTGCATGTTATAGATCTTTTAACCTTATATATATACAGATGGTCCATCACTTACCGTGGCTTCACTTACGATGTTTTGACTTCATGATGGGTTCACTGGGGCCCGACCCCGACTTTTTTTCTTTTCTTTTCTTTTTTCTTTTAAGAGGGAGTCTTGCTCTTGTCGATTTCTGCTTACTGCAACCTCTACCTCCTGGGTTTGTTATTTTTCTGCCTCAGCCTCCTGAGTAGCTGGGATTACAGGCGCCGGCCACCACGCCCGGCTAATTTTTGTACTTTTAGTAGAGAGGGGGTTTCATCATGTTGGTCAGGCTGGTCTCGTACTCCTGACCTCAGGTGATCTGCCTGCTGTGAGCCAACGTGCCCGGCCTGACCCCTTCTTAAGTAGAGAAATATCTGTATCTGCATGCCCACAGGGAAGCTCCTAATTACACCACGTGCCACATCCAAGCCATAGACCCGTGATGTGAGGACACTGGATCCAAGAAATACAATAGCATTAAGAAAGAAAAAATGCTGCCATGGATATTACCAAACGCCAAATGACTCTAAGACGTATGCTAATTGCAGGGACCTTAAAATCGCAAATAAAAAGGCGCCTGTAGGTCGGGCGCGGTGGCTCACACCTGTAATCCCAGAACTTTAGGAGGCTGAGGCGGGCGGATCACCAGAGATCAGGAGTTCAAGACCAGACAGGCCAACATGGCGGAACACCATCGCTACTAAAATATAAAAATTAGCCAGGCGTGATGGCAGGCACCTGTAATCCCAGCTACTCCGGAGGCTGAGGCTGGAGAATCGCTTGAACCCAGGAGGCGGAGCTTGCAGTGAACCGAGATAGCGCCACGGCACTCCAGCCTGGACCACAGAATGAGACTCCGTCTCAGGGAAAAAAAAAAAAAAAAAAGCGAGCGCGTGATGTCTGGAGCAGGTGCGCGGTTGCGACGGCCGCTGCGGGAGGCTTGGGCCGGCCCGGTTTCCCGGCACGCCGGCGCCACGCTCCTGGCGCGGAGGCCGCTCTAAGTTTCGCTTTCCATTCAATGGGAAACGAAAGCTGGGCGGGGCGCAGCCGAGCGCGTGGCCAGACCAAGGCGCGGAACTTCGGCCGCAGCTGCGTCCCCAGCTCAGTCACGCCGTGGAACTCAGCAGCGGAGGCTGGACGCTTGCGTGGCGCTTGAGGCAAGTTTGGGGCTCATTTTGGAAGTTTTCTTTCTAGCGCAGACATCCAACTCTGCTCTTATGCCAGTCAGATAATTAAGGAAATAAGTAATGATTGTGCTCTGCAAATTATGATAGCGATCTGTATTTGCTACGTGCATATATTGGGCCAATGGATTTTTTTTTCTAAGCTAATATAGTTATTTGGACTTTTGGCATGACTGTGTTTAATTTAAAAAAAAAAGAAATTACAGAAGTGTTGTAAGCTTGTAAAAAAAATTCAAACAATGCAGACAAATGTGTCTCTCAATCTTCCACTCAGTATCATTTTTGTTTGTACCTTATCAGAAATGTTTCTATGTACAAGTCTTTAAAATCGTTTCGAACTTGCTTTGTCCACTGAGTATATTATGGACATCTTTTCATGGCAGGACATATAGATGTGTTAATGGCATTAAAAATAAAACAAAAAACTGACGTGGCCTGGCACGGTGGCTCACGCCTGTAATCCCAGCGCTTTGGGAGATCGAGGCGGGCAGATCAACTGAGGTCAGGAGTTCCAGACCGACGTGGAGAAACCCCGTCTCTACTAAAAATACAAAATTAGCCCGGAGTGGTGGCACGTGCCTGTAATCCCAGCCACTCGGGAGGCTGAGGCAAGAGAATCGCTTGAACCCCGGAAGAGGAGGCTGCGGTGAGCCAAGATCGCACCATTGCACTCCAGCCTGGGCGACAGAGCGAAACTCTGTCTCAAACGAACAAAAAAACCTGATACATAGTATGGGAAGTACATTGTTTAAACAATGCATGGAGATTTAGGTTGTTTCCAGTTTTTACTGGCATAGATACAGCAATGAATATCATTTTATGTATACATTCATACAAATATATTGGTGGAAAATTCCTAGAAGTGGAATGGCTGGGTCAGTGGGCATTCATATTGAGAAATTGGAAGGATGTTGTCAAACTCTGCAAATCAGAATATTTTAGTCTTAACCTCTCTTCTTTCCCCCTTTTCCTTGGAAGAAAGCTAAATTTAGACTTTTTTTTTTTTTTCGAGACGGAGTCTCGCTGTGTGGCCCAGGCTGGAGCGCAGTGGCGTGATCTAGGCTCACTGCAAGCTCCACCTTCCGGGTTCCCGCCATTCTCCTGCCTCAGCCTCCCAAGTAGCTGGGACTAGAGGCGCCCGCCACCACGCCCAGTTAATTTTTTTTTGTATTTTTAGTAGAGGCGGGGTTTCACCATGTTAGCCAGGATGGTCTGGATCTCCTGACTTCGTGATCCGCCCGCCTCGGCCTCTCAAAGTGCTGAGATTACAGGCTTGAGCCACTGCGCCTGGCCAAATTTAGACTTTAAATACAAAACTCTATTCTGAGACCCCTGAAAATCTGGGTTCAAAGTGTTTGAAAATTAAAGCAGAGGCTTTAATTTGTACTTATTTATGTATAATTTGTGTAAGTTATATTTGTATAAGTTGTTCCAGAAAAAAGGCAAATATTGAAAAGCATTTCATCTGACGTTTCTTTCTGGTATTGTACAGAGTTGGAGAGTGAATGCAGGTTATCTGATGTGTTCACAGGAACAAAACGGGAGGGAGAGTAACACAGGTGCACGACTGCATCTTGATTTATCAAATAACTTGGTTTTGGACTGTTAAAAAATGTGTTGCACAGTTTTGGCACTTTTACACAGTGATGGGCTTACAAAGGGGAAAATGCTTAACATAAACATAGTTTCCAAGAAGGTAAGTCCTGGTTCTTCCACATTAGCTGTTTTTTATTTTTATTTTTTTGAGAGACAGTAGTCCCAAAATTTCCCTATTATGTGGCTTTTCATCCAAAGTGTTGTAATCCGTGTGTTCTAACCCGCATATTACGATTACTCAAGAAATGCAAAATAGGCCGGGCGCGGTGGCTCACGCCTGTAATCCCAGCACTTTGGGAGGCCAAGGCGGGCGGAACTCGAGGTCAGGAGATCAAGACCGCCTTGGCTAACACGGTGCAGACCCTGTCTACTAAAAATAAAAAATATTAGCCGAGCATGGGGCGGGCGCCTGTAGTCCCAGCTACTCAGGAGACTGAGTCAGGCGAATGACGTGAACCGGGGAGGCGGAGCTTTGCCGTGAGCCGAGATCGTGCCACTGCACTCCAGCCTGGGCGACAGAGCGAGACTCTGTCTCAAAAAAAAAAAAAAAAAAAAAAAGAAATGCAAAATGATGTGAACACGTCATTGAGACCGCGGTCTACAATTGTGGTTGCCATGATGGGTTGGGTCGGAAGACACTGAGGCTGCTGGAATCATGTTCCTGGAAGGTTAATTTTGTTCCTTTTAGGGCATCTAAATGTTGGAGCTGGCTTTCCTGGCAGAGTCCAGTTGTGAGTGGAGTGTTGGGTGGAGGCCCCGCCCTCCCCAGGTTTTCTGCAGTGTGTTCCTGGCTCTTCTGGGGCTTCTCTGAGGACCCTGATTGGTCCTGGGGCTACTTTAGTGGTGGGCCTGGGCCAGTTCCTTGGGTTGCTCTCCTCTCCCTGAAGCCTAAGGATAACATTTCGGGAAGATCATGAGAGAAGGTGAACCAGAAAAACAAAATTCAGGTAGGGCAGGAGCTAAGTTAGTTTAGTATTTGGGTTTTTTGTTTTGTTTTGTTTTGTTTTGAGACAGAGTCTTGCTCTTGTTGCCCAGGCTGGAGTGTAATAGCACTGTCTCAGCTCACTGCAACCCCTGCCTCCCGGGTTCAAGTGATTCTCCTGCCTCAGCCTCCCAAGTAGTTGGGATTACAGGCACCCTCCACCATGCCCAGCTAATTTTTTGTATTTTTAGTAGAGATGAGTTTTCGCCATGTTGGCAGGCTGGTCTCGAACTCCTGACCTTGTGATCCGCCTGCTTTGGCCTCCCAAAGTACTAGGATTGCAGGACTGAGCCACCGCGCCCGGACTGGGTTTTTTTTTTTTTTTTTTTTTGAGTCAGGGGTTCAGTTTGGAAATTCCCTTCCTTGGAATCCACCCACGCTGTTTTCTCTGGTGGATGCTTATCAGGCCTGCTAACTTCAGCTTCTGTCTCTCTGCTCGCGTTGCCCTCCCCGTCCTCCTTAGACCTTTAAGCTTCACTTTCCTTTCCTTGCTGCCCCACTTCCCTATCTCCCCAGTGTGATCTGCCCTGAAAGGTTGCTGTGTTTTCTGTTTCCCTTTGGTACTGAGCCTGCCCAAATGATCTGCTCCATGAGGTTTTACTGCTATATCCTCCTGAAGTATCCAGGATGTCTTGGCGGAGTAGAGGACAACATCTTGGAAAATGCAGCCTGGAACCTCTCTGCTCTCTTTCATCAGCTTTCCCTCAATGATGAGCTCAAAATCCTCTCTCTGGTTGATGGAATTGTCTGCTGTCATCATTTCAGTCGAGTCCTCCTAGCCTGGGCCTCGTAAGAGGAACAACTGTAACTATTGAAAGTCAATATTTACTAAGAAAAAGAGGTTTTTGTTATCTGAGCCATTCAAAATGAATTTAAGAATATATTCCAGGCCGGGCGTGGTGGCTCACGCCTGTAATCCCAGCACTTTGGGAGACCGAGATGGGCGGATCACCTGAGGTCAGGAGATCGAGACCAGCCTGGCCAACAGGGTGAAACCCCGTCTCTACTAAAAATACAAAAATTAGCCAGGCGTGGTGGCACATGCCTGTAGTCCCAGCTACTTAGGACACTTAAGGCAGGGGAATTGCTCGAACCCAGGAGGCAGACGTTGCAGTAAGCTGAGACTGTACCACTACACTCCAGCCTGGGCAAAAAGAGTGAAATTCTGTCTCAAAAAAAAAAAAAAAAAGAGAGAGAGAGATAGGGTCTTGCTCTGTTGCCCAGGCTGGAGTGCCGTGGCACGATCATAACTCACTGTGGCCTCAAACTCCTGGGCTCAACTGATTCTCCTGCCTCAGTCTCCCAAGTAGCTGGGACTACAGGTACATGCCACCATGCCAGGCTAATTTTATTTTTATTTTTAGAAACAGGGTCTTGCTATGTTGCCTAGACTGGTCTTGAACTCCTGGCTTCAAGCTATCCTCTTGCCTCAGCCAACCAAAGTGCTTGGATTATAGGTGTGAGCCACCATGCCTGCCTTTCTGTTCTCTATTTCTAGCGATAAGCTTTTTGAGTTTTCACATGTGAGTGTGAACATGTGGTATTTATCTTTCTGTGCCTACCTTATTTCACTTAAGTAATGTACTCCAGGCTCACCCATGTTGACGTGAATGACAGAATTTCATTGTCTTTTAACGGCTGAATAACATCCCATCGTGTGTATATAGTCCACATGTTCTTTAGCCCTTCCTCTTTTGATAGACACTTAGGTTGATTCGTATCTCGGGTATTATGAGTAGTGCTGCAGGAAATATGAGAGCGCGGATATCTCTTCAACGTACTGATTCCCTTTCCTTTGGGTATATATTCAGCAGTGGGATTGCTGGATCCTACGGTATATCTATTTTTAGGTTTTTAAGGAATCTCCATACTGTTTGCCATAATGGCTCTACTAATTTACATTCCCACCAATGATTGGTTCTGAGTTTATTCCTCACTCTGAGCAGCATGTTGGCTGGACTTAAACCCTGTCCAGCCTTTCCACATCTGGCCCGTCACTTGCCAGTGGGAAAGGCACTTACTTCTTTTATCTCAGTTTTCTCATCTGTCAAATGGAAATATAACTAATTAATTCACACGGCTGTGTAAAGATAAATAAGACAGTACATATAAAAGGCTTTCACCTTTTATAAGAAGTAGTGCTTAGATGTTACCCATTAGTATTATTTTATTTATTTCATCTTATTTATTTAGCTACAAGGTCTCATCTGTTGCCCAGGCTGGAGTGAGTGGCACAATCATAGTTTACTGCAGCCTCAAACTCCTGGCCTCAAGTGATCCTCCTGCTTCAGCCTCCTCAGTATTTGGGACCACAGGCGTGCACCACTATGCCCTTTTAAATTTTTTTGGTATTTTTTTGTAGATGGGGTTTTATATGTTGCCTGTGCTGGTCTTGAACTCCTGGGCTGAAGTGATCCTCCCACCTCGGCCCCCCAAAGTGCTGGGATTACAGGCGTGAGCCACCGACACCAGGCCTCATCTCTGTATCTTTAGGGTTAGTCACTGGCACCTTAATTTGTTCATTTGGTGCTGTCGCTTTTCTCTGATTGATCTTGATCCTCGCAGCTGCGTGCCAGTGTCTGCATTGACACAGGTACCTAAGCCAGTCTTCATTGCCTGGCTTTGTTTGGGCTCTTCTTTCATCAGGAAACCCATATGAGATTAACGAGAGGCTGATTGGTCAGTGCCCTAAGCCCATGACTGCTTCAGCTGTTGCAGTTGTGCTAAGGGGTGCCCTAAGCCCAGGATCACTGTGGCTGGAATTCTTTGGCCACTGAGGCTGACACAGCCCTGGGTCACGCCTGAAGGCAAGGTGCCGAGACTGGCACAGCACTGGGGCACGCCCAAGACCCACGATGGCTTGCCTGCTGCTGCTGAGGTTCATTCAGGGCCCAAAGCCACTGTAGTTGGCATGTTGGTGATGTAGCCCAGATCCCAAGTCCCTGTCACTGGGGCTGTGGGTTCTCATCTGGCACTAGGGTGGGGTGAGATCTGCCTGTGGGTACTGGTCTAGCATCAGAGTGATGAGGCTCTGCCCAGTACTGGGTTTTACTGTAGAGAGCCTAGTCCTGGGTTCCAAGGCAAAGTCCTACCCTGGGTTCCAAGGCAAAGTCCTCCACTTACCTCTTCCTCCTCCAAGCAAACAGTGTCTCTCTTCGTGCTGCTGTGCTGGGGTTGGGGGAGGCTACAGGGGTAACCCTATGGCCACTAAGGCCGACACAATATTGGGTCACACCCACAGTCCACTGCGTGAGACCAGCCCAGCACCGGGATGTGCCTAAGGCCTGCGGGTGCTACAGCCTGCCTGCAGCTGAAGTTTATTTGACTGCTGCAGCCGGCTGGCTGTGATGCGGGCCAGAACACGAGGCTGTCCTGCCAGGGCCGCAGGTCCCCTTGGGTGTTGGACGGGTTGAGAGGCTTTGTCTGTGTGCCAGCCTGGCATCAGGGGCTGAGGGTTCCTGCCTCGTGCTGGCTTTTACTGAAGTGGGCCTGGTCCTGGGTTGCAAAGCAAAGTTCTATGCACGCTTCCCTGTCCTTCCCCAAGAGGGCGTTCCCGGTTAGGATTTGGCAGCGCGCTCTGAGGAAGAATGAATGGAAACGCCTGGGACCCAGGGTAGGGGATGTGTAGCCTAGCTGTCATTTCCAGCCTAGAGCTCTATGAGTCAGTCTCCCCAAACATTTATCTCCCTCTAAGACCTGCTCTTTGGCATCAGAACGGATTACATGAATACACATTCCTCCTTCTCTAATCCTTACCTACCCGCGTTGTCTTTTCACAGAGATCCCATCGTGCCTGGCTCACACAAGCTCTTCCGGGAAGTGAAGTGCTGTCCTGAACGCGGCCCAGGCAGCCGCGGCCTGGGGGTTTTGAGTGATCATGAATGGGCAAGGTATTTGGGCTCAAGAGACAAACCTGTAAGTCCGTCCTGGCTGAGTCTCCGCAGTCCCCGGCAGATCTTGTTGAAAAGAAGGAAGAAGACAGCAACATGAAGAGGAAGACAGAGCAGCCCAGAGAGCATCCCAGGGCCTGGGACTACCCTCATGGTCATTAGACCCCTCCTGCTTTCCTTTTCTTGTCTGCATGTAAATGCTCAGCTCACCTGCTGTGCTCTGAAGCAGCAGAGCTTTGTGTTTGATGGCTCCTGGTTTCCTGTGCCTGAGTTTCTGCATCTTTTAGATGGGGATACAGCCTGGGCCATAGCGAAACCCTATCTCTGAAAAAACAAAAACAAGGTCGGGCGTGGTGGCTCACGGCCTTAATCCCAACAGTTCGGGAGGGCGAGGCAAGTGGATCACGAGGTCAGGAGTTTAAGACCAGCCTGGCCAAGATGGTGAAACCCCATCTCTACTAAAAATACAAAAATTAACCGGGCGCAGTGGCAGGTGCCTGTAATCCCAGCTACTTAGGAGGATGAGGCAGGATAATTGCTTGAACCCACGTGGCAGAGGTTGCAGTAAGGTGAGATCACACCACTGCATTCCAGCCTGGGCGACAGAGTGAGACTCTGTCTCAAAAAAACAAAAACAGCAACAACAGAAAATGGGGGTAATAATAGTAGCAAGCACATAGGGTTGTTGGGAGGATTAAATGGGGTCATCTGTGGAAACTGCTTTAAGCCAGTGCTGGGCGTCTAGTGGCATTTAGCGTTAGTTCCCATCTTTACTGCTGCCTTTGGACGGGTCTGTCTGGAGGCAATGTGCTCCTGATAGTCTGGGAGCAGAAATCAGTGCTCACCTGCAACCCCAGATTTTTACTTTCTTCCTGTCCTATCTCATAAGCCAAAGCCCTTTCCCCAATAATCCTGAGATTAGTGGTACTTCCTCCCCCTTAAATTGCTTACCTTGTGGGGTTCGCCGAGCCTAAGGTTGGGTTGGAAAAGAGGAGGTTGGTTGCTGGGGGTCAAATGTTATCTTTTGTTTTTCTTGTATTCTTGTAAGTTCTTCTGCCTTTCAGCCTCTCAGGGTGAGACTGGATTAGGCGAATCTTCCCCAAAGCAGCCTTCTGATTTCCTGCCTCCCTGTGGTGGGGACTGGGCAGAGACCTCTCCACTGGAGTCCCACACAGACAAACTGTGGACTCCCTCTTATTTCTGAGCCACACAGATGCACATTTGGACTTAGCTCCGTGGAGAACGATTTAAATGAGAGGAGGCCATATTCTCAGTTATGCTTTCTCTAATGTTTCTTTTTCTCTCCCAACAATTGCTCATACTACTCATTTGGCAGTGAGTAAATATACACTTTTGGTGACATCTCACTTTTCCTAATGGACTATTAAAACTTTTCTTGTTATTGAACTTCTTTTTTTTTTTTTTCTTGTGAGATGGAGTTTTGCTGTGTCGCCTAGGCTGGAGTGCAGTGGTGCGATCTTGGCTCACTGCAACCTCTGCCTGCCAGGTTCAAGCGATTCTCCTGCCTCAGCCTCCTAAGTAGCTGGGATTACAGGCATGCACCACCACACCTGGCTAATTTTTGTATTTTTAGTAAAGATGAGGTTTCACCATGTAGGCCAGGCTGGTATCGAACTCCTGACCTCGGGTGATCTTCCCACCTCGGCCTCCTAAAGTGCTGGGATTACAGGTGTGAGCCACTGTGCTTGGCCCTTGTTATCGAACTTTTTTTTTTTTCTGAGACAGAGTCTTGCTCTGTCGCCCAGGCTGGAGTGCAGTGGCGTGATCTCGGCTCACTGCAAGTTCCGCCTCCTGGGTTCACGCCATTCTCCTGCCTCAGCCTCCCAAGTAGCTGGGACTACAGGTGCCCGCCACCTCACCTGGCTAGTTTTTTTTTTTGTATTTTTAGTAGAGACGGGGTTTCACCATGTTAGCCAGGATGGTCTCGATCTCCTAACCTTGTGATCCACCCGCCTCGGCCACCCACAGTGCTGGGATTACAGGCGTGAACCACCATGCCCGGCTAAATTTTTTTTTGTATTTTTCGTAGAGACGAGGTTTCACTGTGTTAGCCAGGATGGTCTCGATCTCCTGACCTCGTGATCCGCCCGTCTCGGCCTCTCAAAGTGCTGGGATTGCAGGCGTGAGCCACTGCGCCCGGCCTGTTATCAAACTTTTTAAAGGTTCATGTTTGATATTTTCTCTCCAATTTGTTTGCAAGCTGAGTGAATGCATTGTACCTGAGAGAACTTTATAGGACTTCATGTCCTTAGTAACTTTAAGAAAAACATTTGATTTTTGTCAACTTTTTTTTTTTTTCGTTTCTGAGACAGAATTCCACTCTTGTTGCCCAGGCTGGAGCGCAGTGGCGCGATCTCAGCTCACTGCAACTTCCACCTACCAGGTTCAAGCGATTCTTCTGCCTCAGCCTCCCAAGTAGCTGGGATTACAGGCATCTGCCATGACGCCCGGCTGATTTTTGTATTTTTTGTAGAGACAGTGTTTCACCATGTTGGCCAGGCTGGTCTCGAACTCCCGACCTCAGGTGATCCGCCCACCTTGGCCTCCCAAAGTGCTGGGATTACAGGCGTGAGCCATGGTGCCCAGCCTTGTCAACTTCTTTACCTAGGCCTTGCCTCAGCATTTTTTTCTCTTCCCCTTATAGGCCTGGTTGGTTTACACAACATTGGACAGACCTGCTGCCTTAACTCCTTGATTCAGGTGTTTGTAATGAACATGGACTTCACCAGGATATTGAAGAGGTAAGACTGTTCTTCAGGCTGATAAGCGTTTGTACTGTTTCTTTTTCTTTTCCTATTTTTTTTTTTTTTTTTTTTTTTGACTTCCTTTCCCAGGCTGGAGTGCATGCCATCTACTCCTGCACTCCACCTCGGTTCCCCTTCCTGTCCCTCCGTATACTACACGCCCGCCACCTCCCCTATTTTTTTTTTTTTAGAGACAGGTTCACCGTTCCTGTCCTTCCTGACTTGATCCCTTCCGTTCCTTCCCTCCCTCTTCCTTTCTTTCTTCTTCCTTTCTTCCTTCCTTTCTTTCTTTCTTTCTTTCTTTCTTTCTTTCTTTCTTTCTTTCTTTCTTTCTTTCTTTCTTTCTTTCTTTCTTGATGGAGTCTCACTCTGTTGCTCAGGCTGGAGTGCAGTGGCGCGATCTCGGCTCACTGCAAGCTCCGCCTCACAGGTCCAAGAGATTCTCCTGCCTCAGCCTCCCGAGTAGCTGTAATTACAGGCACCCGCCACCACGCCTGGCTAACTTTTTCTATTTTTTAGTAGAGATGGGGTTTCACCGTGTTAGCCAGGATGGTCCCGATCTCCTGACCTCGTGATCTGCCTGCCTCAGTCTCCCAAAGTGCTGGGATTACAGGCGTGAGCCACTGCGCCCAGCCTGTATTATTTCATTTCTAATATATTCTGTTATTCAGAGTGACTTGAACTTTTTGAGATCTTCTTTCAAAAGTTGGCAGAGGAAAGATTGGCTTCTGCATATTCTGGCCTACACGTTATTTCTAATACTTCTTAGGTTGGTCTGGGGTGGAGCCCAGATATTGGTACCTTTTTTTTTTTTTTTGAGACAAAGCCTCACTCTTGTCCTCAAACTGGAGTGCGATGGCATGATCTCAGCTCACTGGAACCTCCGCCTCCTGGGTTCAAGGGATTCTCCTGTCTCAGCCTCTCGAGTAGCTGGGATTACAGGCGCCCACCAGCACGCCCGGCTAATTTTTGTATTTTTAGTAGAGACGGGGTTTCACCATGTTGGCCAGGCTGGTCTCGATCTCCTGACCTCAGGTGATCTGCCCGCCTCAGCTTCCCAAAGTGCTGGGATTACAGGCGAGAGCCACCGCGCCCAGACAGGTATTGGTACTTTTTAAAAGCCCTCTTTGGGTGATTTTTAATGCAGCCAGGATTGACAGCCACGAACTTGGTTAAAAGAGAGAGTTGGGACTAGACCAAAGTAAGAGAAGGAGTAAGTCAGTGGGCAGTACACATCCGTGCACACCCCTCCTTCCACCAACACTCACACAATGCACTCTCTCTCTCTGTCTCTTTCCATAACTCTTTTCCTGCCCTGTGCTCTCTCCTTTTTCCCATCTGAGAAATGCCTGTAATTAAATGAATCATTGCCAAACCACACGGACAGCCCTTCATGTTGCCTTTCTTCCCAGGACCTGTCTGTAGTTTGGAGAGCTTTAGGCTGGACATTTTGCTGCTTGCCCGAGATGTGGAGCCAGGACTTCGTCCATCTGCCCTCTGCTCTAGCATGATTGCTGCGCAGGGTGCAGATGGGCTGAGGCAGCGGTCGCGCTGATCCCCCTCTGTGGAGGGTCCCCTGTAGAGCGGATTCACTCACATCATGCTTCTCAACCTTGGCCACACATTGAAATAATCTGAGGAACTGAAAAATTCTGATAACTGCCCCACCCCCGCCGCCCCCAGAATTCTGGTTTAATTTGTATGGGAGTGGCCTGGATATGGAGATTTCAAATTTCTCCCAGCTGATTCCAGTGTGCATCTAGCTTCGAGAACTACACATAAGAAGGTTTCTGGCTGTTCTTGTGTGACAGGATCACGGTGCCCAGGGGAGCTGATGAGCAGAGGAGAAGCGTCCCTTTCCAGATGCTTCTGCTGTTGGAGAAGATGCAGGACAGCCGGCAGAAAGCAGTGCGGCCCCTGGAGCTCGCCTACTGCCTGCAGAAGTACAACGTGCCCAGTAAGACGTCCTCCCACTGGGCTCCTGGCTGCTGATCCAAAGCGGGTGGGAAGCTTAGAGAGAGTGAAGAGAGGAACTAACAGGCAGTGAAGCAACCAGAAGCAAGTTAGGTAGCCTGGACCCCTCGGATTATAGAGACATTTGTGTAAGAGGCACACATTTTTGGAGGTGCAGAATTGATATTATTTATGGACATTTTACTTCCATACCTACCCTTTTTCTGCCTCTCAGTAGGGTAAACGAAGGCATCTCCTCCAAGCTTATTCTGCCACTGTTAGGGAACTGCAGGAAAACAAAATAAAGGAATAAAAAAGAGAAAACATGTTCTACAAAATAATTCATAAATAGGTTAGGGTTTTTTTTTTTTTTTTAGATAGCTAATATTGAAATGTGCATCACATACTGTAAAATTCATCCATTTAAAACCATGCAATTCAAAGGTTTGTAGTGTATTCACAGAGTTGTGCCTCCATCATCACAATCTAATTTCATAACATTTTCATCACCCCCAAAAGAAATCCCATACTTACGGGTTTTCCCTTGTGTATAACACATTGCTTTTCTCTTGCTGCTTTCAGAATTCTTTGCCTTTAACTTTTGAAATTGATTACGATGTGTCTTGGCGTGGGTTGCTTTAGATCAGTCTTATAATGGTGTCCTTTGGGCTTCCTGGATGTGGATTTCTATTTCCTTCCCTGGGCTGGGAAGTTTTCAGTCATTATAGCTATGGGTTGCTTAACAACAGAGAGATGTTCTGAAAATGCATCAGAAGGTGAATTTGTCATTGTGTGGACGTCATGGAGTGGACTTACACAAACCTAGATGGGACAACCTACTACACACGTAGGCTGCTTGTCATGGCCACTGTGCTTATGTGGCCTGCCATTGACCGAAATGTCAATCTGCCACTTGGGACTGTTATTTCTTTGGATAAGCTTTCTGTCTCCTCTCACTCTCCTCCCTCTGGGACTCTGATAATGCCTATTTTGGTCTGTTTGATGTCCCGTAATTCTCTTAAGAGATCTTCCCTTTTTTGGGCCGGGCGCTGTGACTCATGTCTGTAATCCCAGCACTTTGGGAGGCCAAGGTGGGCGGATCACGAGGTCAGGAGATCGAGACCATCCTGGCTAACACGGTGAAACCCCATCTCTACTAAAAATATAAAACGTTAGCCGGGCGAGGTGGCGGGCGCTTGTAGTCCCAGCTACTCTGGAGGCTGAGGCAGGAGAATGGCATGAACTCAGGAGGCGGAGCTTGCAGTGAGCTGAGATCATGCCACTGCACTCCAGCCTGGGCGACACAGCAAGACTCCTGCTCAGAAAAAAAGATATCTTCACTCTTTTTCATTCTTTTTCATTTTTGCTTCTGTGAATGATTTCCAGTGACCTACCTTCTAGTTTGCGAATCCTTTCTTCTGCTTGATTTCATCTGTTGAGCTTCTCTATTGAACTCTTATTTGAGTTATTGTATTCTTCAGCTCTGTTATTTCTTTTGAACTTTTTTCTGTCTCTTTGCGGAAATTCTTCGTTCATGCATTGCTGTCCTAGACGTGGTAAGTATCTTCGTGGTGATTATTTTGAATTGTCTATAAGGTAAGTCACTTATCTTCATTTCACTGAGGGCATTTTCTGGAGATTTATCTTATTCTTTTGCTTGGAACATATTTCTCTGTTTCTTCATTGTTCCTGACTCTGTTATTTTCTGTACTTTAGATAAGAAAAATGCCTCTCCCAGTCTTGTCTCACTGGCCTTGTAGAAGAGACGAACTTACCAATTAACGCTGCCAGACACTCGGAGCGCCTCTTGACCCTTTGTGCTTGTCCAAACTGTCATCTGTGTTCTTAGCTGCCCTCAGGAGATTAGAATGTGTCAAGTCCTGTCAGTGCCCCAGACAGGGGAGATAGAAGCCAGCCCCTTGAGGTGCAGCTGGAGACGTTGGGGCATTAAATGTGTGTTCCAGTTTATTCTATCCTCAAGGAAAAGCTGGGAGCATGTGTTTATCCCCCACTTGCTCTGCAAAAAACTGGACAGAGGATCTGTGGCAAGTGCCTGCACTCATGTTTAAACTGCACACTCTTGCATGCATTGTTTTGCTCTTGTCACACCCAGGGGCCTAGCGAATGCTGGCTCCTCTCTGCTTAGAGATGGACAGGTTGGAAGCTTGATGCTATCTGTCGAACAAACGAGTGGGAGCCGCGGTGGAAGTGCTCACCTGCCTGTTCAGGGTCTCAGAGGAGCACTGGTTTCCTGCTTTGTCAGCTCCCAGATGCATGGAAACCCCAGGGCAGCAGCTGCACATGTGCAGACGGATTCCTTCTAGGGAGAAAGTGGGAGCCAGGCCTTTTTGCCTGTTCACCCTGCACTGGGCCTGGGGAGATGTTTTTTGGTCTCTCTGCCCCTGTGGGACCCACAAATACAGAGCCTCATCAGCTCCCAAAGCTCAGGGATTGAGGAGCTAGTCCTTCATTTGAGAGGGATAGATGTTGTGTACTCAGTGTGTGAAGTTAGAGACCTGATTTTATCATGGAGCAGGGGGTGGGAGAAGGCATGGGACTTGCCCACACACCTGTCCAGACTCCTGGAAATCTGTTTATCTGCCTCATTGGCTCCAGGTGCAGGCTAGTTATTACTAGATGCCCATCCCTCGGGCAACAGCTAGGAGAGCCCGCAGACATACCCTTCCAGGGAGAAACTGGGAGCCTGGCATTTCTGCCTGTTTGTGCTGAGCGCAGGAGCACAGCTGCCGGAAGTGCTCACGTGCCCATTTAAAACTGCCTCTTTGCCCTCTGCGGTCGCAGGGGATTCATAGCTGCTGACCCATGTCTGTTCCCAGAGCTAGGTGAGCTAGCAGCCAAGCCCTTGAATGGGAACTGCAAAAGCTGAGGCTGCCTACGTGTGGTCCAAACCCTCGCCTCTTCAGGAGAAAGCTGGGCGCAGGGATTCCTTTCCGACAGTAAGGTACTGTGTCTAGAGTGGGGCTTGTGGTGCGAGTGTGTCTCAGCTTTTCCAACCCATTGCGATGTGGATGTTTTCTCCATTGTCCCCTGTACAGGCCTGTCTCAGCTGGTATCTGGGTTTCTTTCTGAGGGAGTTGATCTGTGTGTAGATGGAAGTTTTTCCATGTGTCCACGGGAGAAGGGAGCACCAGGAGCCTCCTTCTCTACCATCTCGCTTGTATCACCCTCTGTGATTCTTTTTATTCATAGTTGAATATGATTCACTAATATTTTGTTGAGGAATTTTGCATTTATGTTCACGAGAGATGCTGGTTTCTAGGTTTTTTCTGATAACGTCTGTCTGGTTTTGGTATTAGGATAATGCTGGCCTCAGAGAATGAGTTAGGAAGTGTTCTCTCTGCTTTTGTCTTCTGGAAGAGGTTCTAGGGAACTGGTATAATTTTTCCCATAAATGTTTGGAAGAACCCATCGTTCACTAGTGAACCCGTCTGGGTGCAACTGAGTACCCCCATTCGCTAAGAGATAGTTCCATTAGTTTTCTTATGATTTTCTTTTCACTTCTCCTCTTTCCATCCCTCACCCCTCACCATGGCCGTGTTTCCTGTTTCCTGTTAGCTCTTTAGAAATGCAAGTATCACCTTTCGCCTACCCGTCTCCAGACATTCCCTGCTGGGCAAAAGGAAGAATCTGTAAATGGAGGTAGGCTGATGGAGGTTTGACTGAGAACAGGGCAAGTTCTTCCAGCTCATCTTTCCTGAGACTTGGCAGTAGATTTGCAGCCCCAAGCATACCCACCAGGGAACCCTCCCTGCCAGGGGTGGCCTCGAAACTTCCACCTTCTAGGGGTTTGTCTTTCACCCACTAGGAAGGCATGGAGAAAGCATGCCCACTCGGCCACTTTTACAATTTACTTCTGCCCAGGAAGGTGCCAGCTCAGCTGGGTACATGATAACTGCCCGGTAGAAAACCGCCATTGCTCAACCCCTCACCCCCACAACACACCTGATGAAAATGCCCCTTTTTCCTCCAAAGGAGAAATGGCACATTAAAAGGCAGACTGCGTCGTGCTCCTTCCTCCAAGCTGGCTTCAGAATAAATTCACGTTTGTGTATGAAGCCTTCTTTTGTATCACATTTTTTTTTGTATCAGAGTTAGTTGAACAGCACATGCGGTGAGCAGCTAACCAGCTTTTCGGCTGCAGAGGCACTATGTTCAACTTTCCTTCCGTCCTCAGTCTGGAGAAGCTCAATCAACCTATCTCCAGGTGTATGGATTCTTTCTTTTTCTTTTTTTTTTTTTTTTTTTTTTTTTTGAGACGGAGTCTTGCTCTGTCGCCCAGGCTGGAGTGCAGTGGCTGGATCTCAGCTCACTGCAAGCTCCGCCTCCCAGGTTTATGCCATTCTCCTGCCTCAGCCTCCCGAGTAGCTGGGACTACAGGCGCCCACCACCTCGCCCGGCTAGTTTTTTGTATTTTTTAGTAGAGATGGGGTTTCACCGTGCTAGCCAGGATGGTCTCAATCTCCTGACCTCGTGATCCGCCCGTCTCGGCCTCCCAAAGGGCTGGGATTACAGGCGTGAGCCACCGCGCCCGGCCTGGATTCTTTCTTTTGCCAGCTCTAATCTGCTGTTGACCTCCTCTAGTACATTTTTCATTTCAGTTATTGTTCTCCTCAACTCAAGAATTTCTGCTTGGTTCTTTTTTTACAGTTTTTTCTTTATTGATACTCTTTATTTGTTGAGGTAGCATTTTTGTACTTTCTTTCTTTCTTTTTTTTTTAATTGAGACGGAGTCTCGCTCTGTCGCCCAGGCTAGAGTGCAGTGGTGCGATCTCCACTCACTGCAAGCTCCGCCTCCCGGGTTTACGCCATTCTCCTGCCTCAGCCTCCTGAGTAGCTGGGACTACAGGCGCCCGCCACCGTGCCCGGCTAATTTTTTTGTATTTTTAGTAGAGACGGGGTTTCACCGTGTTAGCCAGGATGGTCTTGATCTCCTGACCTCGTGATCCGCCCGTCTCGGCCTCCCAAAGTGCTGGGATTACAGGCGTGAGCCACCGCGCCCGGCCCCCTTCATACTTTCTTTCACTTTTTTTTTTTTTTTTTTTTGAGACGGAGTCTCGCTCTGTTGCCCAGGTTGGAGTGCAGTGGTACGATCTCGGCTCACTGCAGGCTCCGCCTCCCGGGTTTATGCCATTTTCCTGCCTCAGCCTCCTGAGTAGCTGGGACTACAGGCGCCCACCACCACGCCCGGCTAATTTTTTGTATTGTTAGTAGAGACGGGGTTTCACCATGGTCTCGATCTCCTGACCTTGTGATCTGCCTGCCTCGGCCTCCCAAAGTGCTGGGATTACAGGCGTGAGCCACTGCGCCCGGCTCTTTTACTTCTTTTGACATGGTTTTCTTTAATTCTTTGAACATATTATAACAGCTAAAGTCTTTGTTTAGTAAAGCCAACATCTAGGGCTTCTCAGTGAAAGGTTCTACTGATTGCTGTCTTCCTGTATGTGGCCATACTTTTCCGTTTCATTGTGTGTCTTGTCTCTTTTGTTGGAAAATGAACATTTTAGATGATGTAAGGTGGCAACACTGGACATCAGAGATGCCCACACCAGGGTTTGTTGTTGTTGCTGTTTTATTGTTACTGGGCAGTTTATGATTCTGTATTTGCCTTCATTGCTTTCTTGCACGTGGCCTTGTGGTCAGCCAGAGGGGAGGGATTGGAGCCCTTTCGGGTCTTACTTGGGCATGCGCCTGGCCTTCTAGATCCTCAGGAATGTATCAGTGCTTTTCAAAGTCCCTGTGGACATCTCATTCCCCAGGCTGAGTGCAGTGGTGACATCACATCTCACTGTAGCCTCAACATCCTGGGCTCAAGTGATCCTCCTGCTTCAGCCTCCCAAGTAGCTCTGACTACAGGTGTGCACCACTATGCTCAACTAATTTTTAAAATTTTTTATAGAGACAGAGTCTTGTTTTGTTGCCCAGGCTAGTCTCAAACTCCTGAGTTCAAGCGATCCTCCTGCCTTGGCATCCTGAAGTGTTAAGATTATAGGCATGAGTCACTACACCTGGCACTGGAGCTTAAGTTTCAAGAGGCGTTCTCAAAAATCAATACCAAACTTACTGTTCGTTTATTGATCACCTCTTATATAGTGCCAACTTAGCCTTGCAGTGGGGTGGAGGGCTAGGAAGAGACAAAATGGTGAGTATTCATGTATGTCTAGATACTAGGGCATGAGAAGTGACTCTGAAGACCTCACTAATTGGCTGTTCCTTTTCTCTGTGGCTAGTGTTTGTCCAGCATGATGCCGCCCAACTCTACCTCAAACTCTGGAACCTGATCAAGGACCAGATCACTGATGTGCACTTGGTAAGAACCTAGAACCAGAGCACTCGGAAGCTTAAGATGCTGCTCATTTAACTCATTCAGCTGTTGTTCCTGTAGTGTGTAGAGGAATAAGAGAGTTAATCCACATAAAACACTTATCACAGTTTCATAATATTGTTACTGGTAATATTTTGCACCTTTGTGAGTAGGCCAAAGAGCATTAGTGGCTACCATTTCTAGAGCTTCTGTCTCTTGGCTCCACCTTCTGGCAATTGGCCTGACCTGGCTTATGGTGGTGTTCCCATCTCACCTCTCTGCTCTCCCTCTTGCAGGTGGAGAGGCTGCAGGCCCTGTATATGATCCGGGTGAAGGACTCCTTGATTTGCCTCGACTGTGCCATGGAGAGTAGCAGAAACAGCAGCATGCTTACCCTTCCACTGTCTCTTTTTGATGTGAACTCAAAGCCCCTGAAGACACTGGTAAGGGGATTCTCTTGGTATTTGCTGCCCCCGTATGTGTTAGTCCATTTCTGTTGTGATAACTCAATATCTGAGACTAGGTAATTTATTTCTTACAGTTCTGGAGGCTGGGAAGTCTTGGTTGAGGGGCTGCACCTAGTGAGGGCCCGCCTGCTGGTGGGGACTCTCAGAGTCCTGAGGCGAGGCAGTGCAGGGCATCACATGGCGAGTGCAGTGCAGGGCATCACATGGCGAGGGGGCTGAGCATGCTAATGTGCCGCCAGCTGGAGTCTCTCTTCCTATTCATATGAAGCCACCAGTCCCACTCCCAGGATAACCCATTAACCCTTTAATCCATGAGTGGATTAATTCATTCATGAAGGCTGTGCCCCTCATGACACAATAACCCCCGCTTTTTTTTTGGAGACAGAGTCTTCCTCTGTCACCCAGGCTGAAGTGCAGTGGCACAATCTCAGCTCACTGCAACCTCCGCCTCTGCTGTTCAAGCGATTCTCCTGCCTCAGCCTCCCAAGTAGCTGGGATTACAGGGGCCCGCCACCATGCCCAGCTAATTTCTGTATCCTTAGTAGAGTTGGAGTTTCACCATGTTGGCCAGGCTGGTCTGAAACTCCTGACTTCAAGCGATCCACCTGCTTCAGCCTCCCTGGGATTACAGGCATGAGCCACCTTGCCCTCCCCAATTATCTCTCAAAGGCCCCACCTTTCCATACAGCCACATTGGGGATTCAGTTTCAACATGGGTTTTGGGGAAACCATTGAACCACACAACACAGTGTGACCAACTCCCCCTTGCCTCATCTCTGGCTTCTGAAAAGTCGCTTATTTCATTTTCATGGCTCTGGCCAGTTTCTCCTTTGTTTTGGCAAAAATGCTTTTCCCTCCTACCTCCACCTCCCTCATACTGCTCCCTTAGTAGGAGCCCCATCCTGTTTTGTTCCTCCAGTCAGCAGGTGCCCTTTGAGATCCTGCCAAATGGACCACACCAGGCCAGGCATTAAGGGGGATATGAGGAGAACCAGAAGAAAAGCTGAAACCCTCAGCTGCAAAGTGTGGGGAGGCTGTACCTGATACAGTTTGGGTCTGTGTCCCTGCCCAAAAATCTCCTGTTCAGTTGTAATCCCCAGTGTTGGAGGTAAAGTCTGGTGGAAGGAGATTGGACCATGGGGGAGGTTTTCTCCTGAATGGTTTGGCACTATCCCCCATGGTACTGTCTTTGTGACAGTGAGTGAGTTCTCATGAGATCTGGTTGTTTAAAAGTGTGGCACCATGGCCGGGCCTGGTGGCTCAAGCCTGTAATCCCAGCACTTTGGGAGGCCGAGACGGGTGGATCACGAGGTCAGGAGATCGAGACCATCCTGGCTAACACGATGAAACCCCGTCTCTACTAAAAAATACAAAAAACTAGCCAGGCAAGGTGGCGGGCGCCTGTAGTCCCAGCTACTTGGGAGGCTGAGGCAGGAGAATGGCGTGAACCTGGGAGGCGGAGCTTGCAGTGAGCTGAGATCCAGCCGCTGCGCTCCAGCCTGGGTGACAGAGCCAGACTCCGTCTCAAAAAAAAAAAAAAAGGTGTGGAGCCAGGGTGGGTGGTGCCTGTAATCCCAGCACTTTGGGAGGCTGAGGTGGGTCGATCACCTGAGGTCAGGAGTTTGAGACCAGCCTGGCCAACATGATAAAACCCTGTCTCTACTAAAAATACAAAAATTAGCTGGGCATGGTGGTGCAGCCTGTAGTCCCAGCTACTTGGGAGGCTGAGGCAGGAGAATCGCTTAAACCCAGGAGGTGGAGGTTGCAGTGAGTTGAGATCTCACCACTGCACTCCAGCTCCCCACTCGCTCTCTACCTACATCTCCCATGTAAGACGCCTGCTCCTGCTTGGCCTTCCGCCATGACTGGGAGCTTCCGTGGCCTCCCCAGAAGCAGATGCTGCCATGCTTCTGGTCAGCCTGTGGAACCATGAGCCAATTAAACTTCTTTTCTTATAAATTACCCAGTCTTAGCTGTTGTCTCACAGCAGTGTGAGAACAGAATAGAGTACTCTAGGTGGGAAATACCAACACTGCTTTTTCCCTGTTCTCTTGGGTGGGACAGGAGGACGCCCTGCACTGCTTCTTCCAGCCCAGGGAGTTATCAAGCAAAAGCAAGTGCTTCTGTAAGAACTGTGGGAAGAAGACCCGTGGGAAACAGGTACTCATACCCTAGATCAGACTCAGCTGTCCCTCGGTGCACATGGGGGATTAGGTCCAGGACCCCTGTGTGTACCAAAATCCACACACCCTCAAGTCACACCCAGTCGGCCCTGTGGAACCCATGCATAGGAAAAGTCAGTCCCTCATCTATGCGGTTGTGCATCTGGGATACTGTATTTTTGATAAGCGTTTGGTTGCAGATGTGGAACTCGTGCCTATCGGGGAGGGCAGACTGTATTTATTTACAACAATTTGTGTATAAGTGGACCCACACGGTTGAAACCCGTGCTGTTCAGGGGTCATCTGTCCTTCACTAGTCTGGGGTTGCCCCCCGTGGATTTCCTGATTTCTCTGATTTCATCAGAGGCCCGAGGACACCCCATGGTGGATAAGAAAGGGAATCTGGGTCTGGCTAGTATCTGGGACGCTGGGGTTCTCATGGTCGCATCACTGAGAGGGACCAGAGGAGGGGTCCTGAGAGCAGCCGTAAGGGCATTTCCCTGGGGGCGAAACCAGCTCCCTGGAGCAGGTGCCGTGGCTCCCCTGGTCCTGGCGCCTGTGCAGAGCCCTGTGCCCTTGTGCCTCTCGTAGGGGGCCACACGGTGGTAGAATAGCCAGGTTTTGCATTTTTCTCAGAGGAGCTCAGCAGATTCAGTGCACAGGAGCCTTAAACTCCGTGATGTCACCCTGCTTCCCTCTTTTTGGGAAGAACGCGTCACTAGCCCTGACATTTGTCTGACTCTCCCATTCCAAGTGGACTTCATCTCCAGAGTGATTTTGCTTTTTCAGGTCTTGAAGCTGACCCATTTGCCCCAGACCCTGACAATCCACCTCATGCGATTCTCCATCAGGAATTCACAGACGAGAAAGATCTGCCACGCCCTGCACTTCCCCGAGAGCTTGGATTTCAGCCAGGTCCTTCCGATGGAGCGAGAGCCCTGTGATGCTGAGGAGCAGGTGGGATCCTCCCGACCTCCTGGCCGTCCTGCCTCTCCCCAGACGCCTCATCCTTTCCGTTTTCCCTTCCTTCACCCCCAGTCTGCTAGGAGCCACCTGTTCCTTAGAGACTGTCCCCAACCTCTAAAGACTTTCTTTTTTCTAAATATTGGATTTGTGTTCATGTGCCTCACAGCACTGAGGGACGGAATCCAGAATTCAGTAGGCTCCTTTGGAAATAATGTGGAATACATAGAAATGCATAGGCAAACATGTCATTGTGGGTTCTTAGTACCAACCAAACTTTCTTCCTCAAATGGCCTGTGCCCACTTTGAGGATAATCATAGAGTAGCCAGTTGACTGGACCACATTTAATCAGAGTAAAGTTTAATTCACTTGTCCTGAGATAATAACTTACTGAGAGATTCTGAGAAAAAAAGAGACACAAGGCCAGGCAATGTGGCTCATGCCTGTGATCCCACACCTTGAAAGGCTGAGGCAGGAGGATTGCTTGAGCCCAGGAGTTCGAGACTAGCCTGGGCAACATAATGAGACCCCATCTCTCAAAAAAAAAAAAAAATTAGCTGGGTGTGGTAGCACAAACCTTTAGTTCCAGCTACTTGGGAGGCTGAAGCAGGAGGATCACTTGAGCCCAGGAGTTTGAGGCTGCAGTGAACTGTGATCTATCACTGTACTCCAGCCTGGGAGACAGCACAAGACCCTGTCTCTAAAAACAAAACAAAACAAGAAAAACTTAAAAAAAAAAAAAAGACACAAATATCTTTTTTCCGTAGATTTGAAATGCTACATAGCAAATTTTGTATTCCCACATGTACGGGTCTATTTTTGGAGTGTCTCTTCTGTTTTATTGGTCTGCTTGGCTATTTATGCTGTAGAACCATGGCATTTAGAAAATTAAGGCCTGATAATATGTTATAATAGCTCCTATTGTAACATGATTTCTTTACCTACTTAGGCCGTGTACGTTTCATGGGATTCTCTTTTTCTTTCCTTCTAGTTCTTTTTATTTCTACCTGCAGATTCTGCCCGATGAAGTATATTTAAAATTGTTTTTCACTTAAAAAAGACTTTTTTGGCTGGGTGCAGTGGGTCATGCCTGTAATCCCAGCTCTTTGGGAGGCCAAGAGGATTGCTGGAGTCCAGAAATCAAGCCCTGCTGGACACTAAAGCAAGACTCCATCTTCTTGCAATAGCAACAAAAAAGACTGTTATGGAACATTACAAATAGATACCAGGGTGTGTAGTGAAGGAAGAATTAGACAGTGAATCCTCATTGTAACAGTTACCAAACTCATGGCAGGTCTTGCTTGTCCTATAACCCACCCTGTTGTTTCACCCAACCCTGTACTGGATTTTTTCTGAAGCAAATCCCAGACTTCATACTGTTTCATTTGTAAACACTTTGTTAGGTGTCCCTAAAGAATAAGCACTCAAAAGATAACCATCTCCATCTTGTAATTCCTTCACAGCATCAAATATCTGGTCAACGTTCAAACTTCCTGACTGTTGTATAATCTATGTGGTTTGTTTGAATCTAGATGCAGACAATGCCTACACTTACATTTGGTTAAGTTTCCTTCTTTTCTTAAGTTCCTTTTAGATTTCTGCTCCTTTTCTTTTCCTTGCAGTTGATTCGGTTGAAGATTTTTTCAATATGCCAGCACTGGCTGGTTGGTATCATTTAACATGTTCCTCTAACCCTTTTATTACTTGTAAACTAATATTTAGATACAGATATTCCCTGCATTTTGTAAAGTCCTGCACAAAGTCTGCAGATGAAAATAGGGATAATTCCAGCCTCCACTGTGGGTGACCCAGCTTTGCATGTGCCACCCTTGTTGTCCATCTCCCCTCCGCCTACAAAAGACTTTTGGCTGGGTACGGTGGTTCAGGTTAGGGCCCTTCTGGGCTTGTGGAGAAACAGAACTGTGTTCTGATGACCCCACCCCTCCCAGGGGAAAGTTCTAATCTTGTCTTGGCTTTGGGGGCCTCTCTCGTGACCTCCTGCCTTCCATCTCCTGTGTGCTCTGCTGTGCCAAAGCTGCTGAGCCTTCGCAGTTCAGGATCCACACTCAGGAAAGCTCCTCCTGGAGGGTGCCCACCGGCCGTGGGTCAGGACTGTTTTTTAATACACTGAAGTCCCAGAGTCGGGCCTAGGGTGGGCAGGTATAAATGTGTGAGGCAGTCATGTTTGTGGCGGTGGGTGAACTGTCTCGTGCCTGTCTCTTTCCAGCCTGGAGGGCAGTATGAGCTTTTCGCTGTGATCGCGCACGTGGGAGTGGCAGACTCCGGTCATTACTGTGTCTATATCCGGAATGCTGTGGATGGAAAATGGTTCTGCTTCAATGACTCCAATATTTGCTTGGTGAGAAACATCATCCACAATTGCCTCCTGCCCTGGATTGGCCACCTCTAGCACATGCTGGGCCCGGGACTGCGTGGGTGTCTGAGATCAAGACACACGGTGGTCCCACTGTCTCGGTGTGGGGCCTTTGATGAGGGTTCAAGCCTTTTTCGGCCTGAAGTCCCCATGTGGTGTGCACCTCTGTAAGGGTTCACTTCCCTCCATTTCTAAGTGTTTGGTGCTCTAGGCTCATGCCCTGCGGCTTCCTGCTTCGTGGGAAACGTCTAGAGAGCAAGGAGAGTTAGAAATATGTAAGGCCTCTGGGAGAAGCATGACCAAGTTTAAACACAGGGACGAGGGCGCTAAAAAGACTTCATTGCATATGACGTCCTGCTGCTGATGATGCTCCAGGCTCTTGGGAGCTGCTAGAGGTGGGCTTGTCTGGAGGATGAGGGGTACATTGTAGCACCCTGTCCTCTGTGGGTGCCTGTAAGTGTCAGCTGTGCTTGACCCTGTTTGTTTCTGGCTTCCAGGTGTCCTGGGAAGACATCCAGTGTACCTACGGAAATCCTAACTACCACTGGTAAGAAACGTTATTTGGGTAATGGGAGCCTAATGAGCTCACATAGGGTCCTTGGAGCTCATGAAACGCCTGTGGATTCCCCTGTTACTAACGTGCTGATGGCTCACTGTCCGCCTCATCTACAACACTCCCCCCACCACCCCATGCTTGCCTCACACGTCACACTCCAGGAATATTGAAGTACAGGTAGCTCAAACAGCCGTGCCCTCCATCTCCCCTCTGCTGTGCACGCGCACTTCCTGGCTGTACTGTCCTCTCCTCGTTTACCATCTAGGCCAACTCCCCGCTCGTGTTTTCATACTCATGGTCTTTTCCTACCCTTTAAAGCCTTTACTGATTCACCCAGATTCGTGGGGGCTTCTTGCATGTTTTTTTGTTTTTTTTTTTTTGATGGAGTCTCGCTTTGTTGCCAGGCTGGAGTGCGGTGGCACAATCTTGGCTCACTGCAACCTCCACCTCCCAGGTTCAAGCGATTCTCCTTCCTCAGCCTCCTGAGTAGCTGGGACTACAGGTGCATGCCAAAAGGCCCAGCTAATTTTTTTTTGTAGAGATGGTGTTTCACCATGTTGACCAGGATGGTCTCAATCTCTTGACCTCATGATTCGCCCGCCTCAGCCTCCCAAAGTGCTGGGATTACAGGCATGAGCCACCACACCTGGCCTTCTTATATGCTTTTATTGCATTTAAGCATACCTCTTTTACAGCAAAGATCTTTTTTTTAAAATTTTATTTTCAGAGATGGAGTCTTGCTTTGTTGCCCAGGCTGGAGCACTGTGGTGTGATCACAGCTCACTGCAGCCTTGAACTCCTGGGCACAGGTGATCCTCCCACCTCAGCCTCCTGAATAGCTGGGACTACAGGCATGCACCACCATGCCTGGCACATTTTAAAAAAATGTTTGTAGAGGTGAGGTCTCACTATGTTGCCAGGCTTGTCTCAAACTACTGGGCTGAAGCCATCCGTCCATTTCAGCCTCCCAAAGTGCTTGGATTACAACGTCCATTTCAGCCTCCCAAAGTGCTTGGATTACAACGTCCATTTCAGCCTCCCAAAGTGCTTGGATTACAAGCATGAGCACCATGCCTGGCCATCACACTGTTGTTTCTTTTTTTTTGTTTTTTTTTGTTTGTTTGTTTTTTTGAGACAGAGTCTCGCTCTGTCACCCATACTGAAGTGTAGTAGCGGGATCTCGGCTCACTGCAAGCTCCGTCTCATGGGTTCATGCCATTTTCCTGCCTCAAACTCCCGAGTAGCTGGGACTACAGGCACCCGCCACCACGCATGGCTAATTTTTTGTATTTTTAGTGGAGATGGGGTTTCACCATGTTAGCCAGGATGGTCTCGATCTCCTGACCTCGTGATTCCACCCGCCTCGGCTTCCCAAAGTGCTGGAATTACATGCGTGAGCCACCGCACCTGGCCAATAAATATTTTTATAATCATTAACTACTGAGGAGAAGCTGGAGAGAAAAAAGGTGGATGAAGTTAAAGCAGAGAGACTTTGTAAGTTTCTTGGCTGAGCTTTGAGATTGTGTATCAGAGATGCTATTGGAGATGATTTTCAGCTGCACAGATAGGCCTGGTCATTTGAAAAGTAACGGATTAGGTGAAGCTCACGTTTGAAATCCTCCTTCTACTTTTCATTTTTCTCTCTTGTTTATTCTGAGCATCCGTCTTAGACATCCGATCTTTGTCACTTTGTGGTTGTCATTGATTTCCCTATTATTGAGATCAGAGGTTGGCTGACTTTCTCTGTAAAGGGTTGGAGAGAAAGTATTTCAGACTTTGTTGTCTGTACAGTGTCTGCTGCAACCACTTAGCTCTGCCCTGTAGAGCAAAAGCAACCGTAGACAGTGTGTGGGCAGAGGCGCATGGCTGGGGTCTAGTTAAATTTATTTGCAAAAAGAGGCTTGGAGACTGGGTGTGAGCTCACACCTTTAATCCCAGCACTTTGGGAGGCCAAGGCGGGAGGATCACTTTAAGCCAGGAGTTCAAGACTAGCCTGGGCAATAAAGCAAGACTCCATCTCTACAAAAATTAAAAGTTATTATAGCTAGGCATGGTGGTACACACCCCTAGTCCTAGCTACTCAGGAAGCTAAAACAGACAGAAGGATCAGATGAGCCCAGGAACACGAGGCTGCAGTGAGCTACTATTGTGCCACTGCACTCCAGCCTGGTGACAGAGCAAGAACCGGTCTCGTCAAAAAGTAAACAAAAGGCCGGGCACGGTGGCTCACACCTGTAATCCCAGCACTTTGGGAGACTGAGGCAGGCAGATCATGAGGTCAAGAGATTGAGACCATCCTGGCTAACACGGTGAAACCCTGTCTCTACTAAAAATACAAAAAGTTAGCTGGGCGTGGTAGCGGGCTCCTGTAGTCCCAGCTACTCGGGAGGCTGAGGAGGGAGAATCGTTTGAACTTGGGAGGCGGAGGTTGCAGTGAGCCAAGATTACGCCACTGCACTCCAGCCTGGGCGACAGGGCAAGACTCCATTTCAAAAAGAAACAAACAAACAAACAAACAAAACGTAATGCATATTCTCTCTTATAAATGGGAGCTAAACATTGGGTATTCATTGACTTAAAGATGGCAACAACTGGGAACTGCTGGATGGGGAAGGAGGGAGGGGAGGGGTCAAAAACTAACTGTTGGGAGCATGCTTGTATTCACGTGACAAACCTGCACGTGTGCCCGCTGAATCTAAAATAAAAGTTGAAAGTAGATTTTAAAAACCCCGAGGGATTGGATTTGGCCTATAGCTTGTTAACCTCCTCTTTAGATATTAACTAATAGAAACGTAGTGCGTATCTTCCCAGGTCGCCTGTTTTGTTCCTCTCCGAGGTGATGGATAGACAAGGCTTGATCCAGCCGCCTGGAAGTTTGCTGACGCTTGTTCATCATAGATGAACGAAGCGTTGTTTTCTAATGAAGATTTCATGCCGCTGTGCTGATGCGTCTTCTCTTCTCTCTAGGCAGGAAACTGCGTATCTTCTGGTTTACATGAAGATGGAATGCTAACAGATATGCCCAAAACCTTCAGAGATTGACACGCTATCATTTTCCACTCCGTTCCTGGATCTATGGAGTCTTCTGAGTCTTCTAAGAGATTTTGTAATGAGGAGAAGCATCGTTTTCAGACTATATAACTGAGCCTTATTTATAATCAGGAATATTACCAAAATATTTAACCATGAGGGTCCTCAGGTCCTGATCAGTCAGAATGGACGCTTTCACCAGTGGACTCGGCCATGTGGCTGCTCAGTCCTGGGTGCTTCCTGCTGTGCAAGACGTTAGCCCTTTAGTTAGCAGGCTGTGGGGAGTCCAGGTGCTCCCAGTGGGGAGAGCAGCGGCAGTGGGAGGCATCTGGGGGCCAAAGGTCAGTGGCAGGGGGTATTTCAGTATTTTATAACTGCTATGACCAGACTCGTGTGTACTGGCTGAGTATCAGTGCTGTTTGTAATTTTTCACTTTGAGAACCGACGTTAATTCTATATAAATCAAGTGTTTAGTAACTGTTATTCACTTATTCAGCAAATATTTATTGATCACCTATTCTCCATAAAATAGTGTGATAAACACAATCATGAATAAAGTTATTTTCCACAAAAGGACTTTGCAGTTTTATTGGGGGGCAGTAGGGCTTGTGCTATAGGAATTCAAAGGCAAGGGAAGTCACTTCTGTCGTGGGGCCCTGGGAGAAGGCTCCAGGCTGAAAGGGTTAGGGTGGAGGTCCCCCACAGGGACAGCGTACGCAGTGGACCGGCTGCAAAAGGCCGTGCTCAGCATTCAGACAGCATCACACACTCAGCTTTTCTCTGCCAGGGAGGCGGGTGGGGAAGGATAGGGATGGGAAGGCAGATGGAGCTCAGAATGTGGAGGGGATCCAGCGAGGCTCGGAAGTTTGCACCTGATCCGGTGGGTGCTGAGGAACCCCTGAAGGGGCGAGGAGGAGAGGAGCACTCAGCTGTGTTCTGCTGACGCTGATCTGCTGCCGGAGTTAGAGACAAACGTGGTGGGAATGGAAAGCCACACACAGTCACTAGCGCCATTCTGGAGGGAGAATGGATGTGGCTGGTGAGAGAACAGGGACCCAGGGAGAGTCCCGCACCAACCTGGGAGGGGAGCCTGGTGGGTGTGGGCACCCCCACTTTACAGATCAAGTGATAGAGACACTCAGATGTTTAACCCCTTGTTCAAGATTCCATACTTGATAAATGGCAGATCAAAGTCCTAACATAAAATGTGGGTCATTTCTTTATTATTTTATCTGTATTGGCTAATGATGATTAGCCATGCAAGAATAAATGATTATTGTAAAATCTTCAAACAATGTAGATACGTAAAGAATCCCTTCCTTGGAGCTTGCCCTTGTCAGACAGGTGTGGATGAGCATCCTGGGGTGGCTGTAAAAACTGCCAGAGTCTGGGTTGCTTACAGCAGACACATGTGGTCTCCCAGAAGCCCACGTTCGAGGTGTCCAAAGGCCTGGCTCCCGGAGGCTCTGGAGGAGCCCCTGTTCCCCGTTTCTCAGCTTCTGCCGGTTGCCGGCAATTGTCCTTCATTCACTCCAGCCACTGCCTCCATCTGCACACAGCCAAAACGGCATATCCTGACGCGCTCAACCTTACAGCCAATATTTAAAAATATCTGGAACACACAGGGCCATGGGAGTGGCTGTTGGAGAAATTTTCATGAAGGAAGAAAGATTACAACTAAGTTTTAAAATGCTAGTTGTGTTTGTTTTGTCTTGGAGAGGAGGTAAATGTGGGAGTGAAAATAGGGAGTTTGGTGTAAGGTGGGAAAAGCAAAGGAACCCCGCATGGATGGGCTGAAGGGTGTGATGGGAGAACAGTGAGAAGTACGTTTGGGGAAGCAATTGGAAATAGCAGCTAAGCTTAATCACAATCTATCAAAAGGGATTTGTTGAAGAATTAATGTGTGACGAGGAACAGGTAGGTTGTGGGCTTGTCAGCTCGACAGTGGGCACTCGGCTCCATTAACAAGTGATGCCCGTGTGGACAGACAGAATGATGGGCAGGCAGATGAATGCGTGGGTTTTTTTGTTTGTTTGTTTTTTGAGATGGAGTCTCGCTCTCTCACCCAGGGTAGAGTGCAGTGGCACCATCTAGGTTCACTGCAAGCTCCGCCTCCCGCCTTCACGCCATTCTCCTGCCTCAGCCTCCTGAGTAGCTGGGACCACAGGCACCTGCGACCACGCCCAGCTAATTTTTGTTGTATTTTTTAGTAGAGACGGGGTTTCACCGTGTTAGCCAGTATGGTCTGAATCTCCTGACCTCGTGATCCACCCGCCTCAGCCTCCCAAAGTGCTGGGATGACAGGCGTGAGCCACCGTGCTGGGCCAAATGTGCGGGTTTTAGGCGAAACGGGTCCACTTGGTTGTTGAGAAGATAGTGTTTTAAAGTTCCGTTTTTCCATACTTTGAATAGCTTTACATTAGCTAAATTTAACCACATACAAAATCACTAAGGCAGACACTCAGATTTCCCACACGAAAATCAAATGTAAACCAGCTGTGACCTACTTCAACGTGATCATCGGAAGTCGGAAGTTGAGCTCTTTTTTGATGTTTAAAGCCTGCATAATATTCACTGTATTATTATTCAGTGTATTACTATTTCCTTCGTGATGGAAATTTGGTTTGCCCCAACTTTCTATTCTATCAAAACACTGCTATGTAGAAAATCCCCATGCACATATTTCTCCTAATTGTGGAAATATTTTACATACAAGACTCTAAACATGACATGAAATTTTACTGGAATTTTAAAATAGATGGGTACTCCTAAATTGCCCTCTTTCAAATTCTATGAACTCGTAAGCTTCCAAGTGTTACGGAGTTGCCCATTTTGAGAAATCTGTGCTAAAAGGACCCAACAATGCTGATGACAATGGTCAGGATGGTAAGGAGGCCGGGAAGACAACAGAATGATTTAGATCTTAGACAGATCACTGTCGGTGTCTCCACTGGTCCAGCTCTTTCATTCGTTCTCGTGCTATCTTTTCCCTTTCACCAAATAAAATCGCTCCTTGACATCACATGAATCCATGCTATGCTTAATGACTGTTGGTTAGTAAAATGCCTATGACTAGCAATCTTCATGTGTGCAATTAAATATTAATTCAAAAAACACTTCAAACATAAGCAATTAATAATTAGTGAATGAAAAGTACATCATACCTCAATTTAAAAAATCACTATTAAAAAGACATTATTTGTGTGATAAAAGAGATTGCCATTTTTGTATTTTTCTGCAAGGCTAAAGAAAACTAAGTCAGCTTACACAAGTGAATTTTAAAAGACTTTAGGGTGAGCATGGTGGCTCACACCTGTAATCCCAGCACTTTGGGAGGCCGAGGTGGGCGGATCACCTGAGGTCAGGAGTTCGAGACCAGCCTGACCAACATGGATAAACTCCGTCTCTACTAAAAATAGAAACTATTAGCTGGGCATGGTGGCGTATGCCTGTAATCCCAGCTACTTGGGAGGCTGAGGCAGGAGAATTGTTTGAACCCGGGAGGCAGAGGTTGCAGTGAGCAGAGATCGTGCCATTGTACTCCAGCCTGGGCGACAAGAGTGAAACTCCATCTCAAAACAAACAAACAAACAAACAAACAAATAACTAATTAAAAATAAAAGTCTTTAACCCAGAATGCTGAGTAAATTGGCCGAAAATGCTAACCTATGCATTTCAATACTATAGGATTCACAAAGATAGAAATAACCAGATGAAATACTTCTGGTATTTCACCTCCCCAACCATATGAGCCAGTGTTTTTTTCTGTGAATAACAAGAACATCAGAATTTACTTGCCTGTCCATAAGAGGTTACTACTTCTGTGTGTTCCCCTGAAACAGGTGGTGGCTGGGTGAGAAGGGGCAGGAGATGGGGGCTCCAGTATCACGGGTGAGCTTCCTAAACCTCTACAACTTTCAGCCCCTAAATGGGATGAACCGTGGGAAGTTTTAGCACAATGCCCAGAACAAAGTAAAGATTTGACACATGGCGCCTCTCTCCACATTGTTCTGTCATCAGTTACTGCGTCCTGCACCTCCCAGCCCACTGGGGTCTGGCTGTTTCCATCACATGGAGAATGACCCAGAGACTGGCCTCCAGCCACCCTCCTGGCCTTGCTGCTTCTCACTCTGCCACTGGCTCCTCACAGACCAGCCCAGGTGTCCTCAGACATACCACACACTTCACTGTGGGAGTCACGCAGCCCTCACTGCTCCTTCCCCAGGCAGCCACGGGGCTTTCCTCCTCAGGAGGGCTCTGCAAGCACCTGGATGAAGGGCCTCTCATCCCTCATACTCCCTTAATTTTTGTCGCAGCTCTCCTTCCTTCCACTCAGTGCAGCACCCACTGACTGATCCTCCATCTTCCCCAAAAGACAAGAACAGCATGAGCAGTAGAGAGTAGATATCCAATGACAGAAAAATTGGTCAACGGTTTATCATTTCCATTTATCATCAATTAAGAAAATGTATCCTGAAGGCCATGTACCTCCTATTGGACTGCTGCATCCTCAGCCTCCTGAATTCCAGCCCAGCACCTTCCTCCCCGGCACAGAAACAGGTCAGCCCTTACCAGCATCCCTCTCTTATTGCTTTTGTGCAGAGCCAGAACAAGGGCCAGGCAAGGACTTGGGATTGTCACTCCCCAACAATCTGTGAAACAATCCTTTACATCACCAACAAAGCACAGCCTTATAAATTGGTGGTCAGTCCCTCCCAACACCTCTGTAACTGTACAGATGGCAGTGCTCCTCCAAGGTTGGCCTTCCCAGGCACTGCACCTCTAGGAGCGTGTCCTTACTTTGAGGCCTGGGTGCTCAGTCTATCCTGTCCAATAAGCAAGTCGTGGAGAAGGGGGGATTCCAGATTAAGGGGAGACTAGCGGAGCCCCTACTTTTATGCTGTCCTGTTGGGAAGGCTATTAAAGAAACAGAAAGTGTGAAGCAGTGAAGATAGAACATGTTTTCATTACTTAAACCAATACACTCCACAGACTGGAATAATAAGAAATGCTACATCCAAGCTAACTGAATCCAATAGCATATCAAAAAGACAATCCACCATGATCAAGTGGGTTTCATACCAGGGATACAGGGGTGGTTTAACATATGCAAGTCAATAAATGTGATACCTCACATAAATAAAATTAAAAACAAAAATTACATGATAATCTGAATAGATGCAGAAAAGGTATTTGACAAAATTCAGCATTTCTTTATGATTAAAACCCTCAGCAAAATCAGCATAGAAGGGACATACCTTAAGGTAATAAAAGCCATCTATGACAAACCCACAGCCAACATTATCCTGAATGGGGAAAAGTTGAAACCATCCCCCCTAAGGACTGGAACAAGACAAAGACGCCCACGTTCACCACTTCTACTCAACACAGTGCTGTTCACTACAGCATTGGTTATAAGAGCAAGACTGGAAACAGAACAAATGGATACCCAGAGGGGGGTGCTTAAGTAATTTTGGGAATAGTCATAGGGTGCAGTACTTTATAGCTCTGAAACAATACAATGGATTTACAGTTGAAAAGTGGAATGATAACTAAGGTGCATTGCCCAGTGG